AGCTGATAGCAAGGAGTGAGCAAAGATAGAAACGGTACTGGCAGAATGTAGATTAGACCCAAAACAATCGAGGTAAATGTAAGAATATCGTAAAAATAAAGAGGACCAAGCACAAGATAAGTAGAATAGGAAGGAAACAGCATCATGATTGAGTTTTAAAACATAGATTAAAGATGCAATCGGACTTAAAACAAAGCTGTAGAATGCCCTAAAGATGTGAATAAGTAAGGATGAGATGAAGAAATAAAAAATGAATTTTCGAATTCGGGCGTCTATGGTTTTCAAAGTTGCAGAAGGAGGGGATTCTGTTTAGATTAATTATGGTGCATTTTAACCAGATAATGGGAAAAGGTGGCCGAATTTCGTATGTATTCAGTTACAAATTCCGATAAATGAGCGAAATTGATAGATCAGCAAAGAACTTTTAGTATCTACGTCTGCCAACACTAATCAGGGAAAACTCACACTAGAGCAACAATCAGAAATTATGGAGTATAGTTTCCATTCTGAAAATTCTTAACCTATCAACAAGTAGTATCTATTTCACTTTTGGCATTAGGTTCTAAGAAGAGGTACTGGAACTTGTGATGGAATCTTGATTAGGTCCCATTGTGCTGATATTTGCACAAAGCTTGATGGACCAAGATGTCGCGTCCTCTATTTTGGTCTCAGTCTCATTTCGACGTATAGAGGTGGTCTGACCTCGTTTTCGCAATTTGGTCGTGCTGTCAGGGCGACCTAGTTGGACGCATCTCGTCAGAAGCCCTCGGTTTGAGTAGGTGTGATGATTCCCAGCGTGGGAGCGTATACGGTTCTGAGACTGACGATGCCGGCGAAACGTCCGAGAATGTACCAAGTCCACGGTGCGATGATGGGAATTGTGATAATTACTAGGACAGAGGACTTCGGACAAGGCGCATCTAAATAGGATGGGGAGAGGTTGCCGTTTAATCTAAAATATGTGGTACTTACTGTCAGGTTGATTAGTCATGTTGACGACTCCTTCGGTATCCACTCGGATTCCGGGATATCCTCCTCTCGTTCCAATGCTTCCAGCACGGCGGTGACTGCCTTCTCGCCTGAGATGTTTGTGATTATCAAGACAAGCTATACCTCTCCCCATTCACATTATGATAGTGGGATTTTCGATGAAGCAGACCTGTGCTTTCCGGTAACTCGATTAAACTATCACATATCGAATGAGTACGCCTCGAGACTATCGGAAGACGATTATGCATGACTCTCATCATCAAATGACTAGATTGTTCGTCTTTGCTGGATTCATTGTTTCTGCAGAGTATTTGGTGTTCCTTGATTTGTAGGCTGATGTTTCTTCATGTTTCACCAAGACACTTCTGCTCACAGTTGCCGCATTTGCTGCTTTAGACTCCCGAGCAATCCTGCTTGTTAACCTTCTCATGTTGCATCGACAGGCTTGTGAAGAGTGTTGCTTTTTCCTTTATTATCACCTTGCCTTGAAAATCATATCTTTCCTGTAACCAACTGGCACACGTGGCGGTATGCATATAGCGGATTGTTTACGTAGTGTGAGGAAGCCTTTTGGGAGACGAGGCAATGTGAAATTCTAATTGGAAATAAAACTATTAGACGTATATCATCTAATGCCACATAAGATTGTAAAATTTAATATTTTTCATTTACAAGCAGGCTTTCAAGATCCTCATAGATCATGTAAATGATTAGAAATTAGTTTTTAAGGTCAACAAAAGACGCGCTCAGGATATGCCAAATCTATTGTAACTTCTATTAATATTTGTTGGCAACCCTAAATAATGGAAGAATTTGGGGGCTGTCCTTATTCGTAAAAATAGTTAAGATTTGACCTATGACAACAGCAGCAGAATCTCGTTTCCATCACTGTCTGCGATTTTAAAATATACAAGGTCTAGCTAAAGAGAAGCAAGCCTTATCCATATAGAAATTTAGGATATGGTACAGAGAAAGAGAGCTTTGGCGAGCGGCATCCGATAAAATAGAAAATCCCGTGCAAGCGAGATGCAAGACATTTTTGAACTAGTTTGAAGGTAAACGCCGTCATCAACGAGGTGGTTTCGGTGAGTAAAAACAATGTGGATGAGACGATATTTAAGTTCAGGTGAAAAAATACAGCTTGAATGGGAGAAACGTCTCACCAAAAAGAATCCTTCATCCTCACAACTTCGGTCAGTAGTATAAATACGATTTCACTAGGCTTGGAAACCGAGTAACTGCAAATTAGGCAGAATACTGATATTTCGTTTATAAGTAAGTTTTCGAGACTAGATCATATACGCATATATTATTTAGAAATGATCTACTGGTAGTCTCGAAAAACTACTTATAAACTAAACATAAGTAGCGTAATATGAGATGTATTCACCCTATTTCGTTTAAAGTGCTTAATGACTGGTAGTGGAATTTTCCCACATTTCCATTGCATTTCACATAGCCTTGCTTTCCCAAAAGTTTTCCTCATTCAGGCACAAGTGAACTGCAGTTTCGACCTCCCCAGCGGGAGTCGAACCGTGACAGTGCAGAATGTGAGCTTGACACGTTAACCACTCGGCCACATTGCC